TTTATTTTTTTTTATTAAATTTTTTTTTTCAACGTTTATTTATTTTTGGGACAGAGAGAGACAGAGCATGAACGGGGGAGGGGCAGAGAGAGAGGGAGACACAGAATCGGAAACAGGCTCCAGGCTCTGAGCCATCAGCCGAGAGCCTGACGCGGGGCTCGAACTCACGGACCGCGAGATCGTGACCTGGCTGAAGTCGGACGCTTAACCGACTGCGCCACCCAGGCGCCCCCCCATTCATTCTTTAGTAGGATGTTCTTTAACCTCCATGCATTTGGAGGTTTTCCAAACTTTTTCCTGTGGTTGGTTTCAAGTTTCATAGCATTGTGATCTGAAAATGTGCATGGTATTAACTCAATTCTTTTATATTTATCAAGAGCTGTTTTGTGACCCAGTAAGTGATCTGTTTTGAGAATGTTCTGTGTGCACTTGTGAAGAATGTATATTCTGCTGTTTTAGGATGAAAAGTTCTGAATATATCTGTCAAGTCCATCTGGTCCATTGTGTCATTAAGGGCCATTGTTTCTGTTGATTTTCTGTCTGGGTGATCTGTCCATTGTTGTAAGTGGAGTATTAAAGTCCCCTGCAATTAGCACATTCTTACCAATAAGATTGCTTATGTTTGTGATTGATTGTTTTATATATTTGGGTGCTTCTGAATTCACTGCATAAGCGTTTATAATTATTAATTCTTCTTGAAGGGTAGACCTTGTAATTATACATACGGCCCTTCTTCATCTCGTTACAGCCTTTAGTTGAAAATCTAATTTGTCCACTAGAAGTATGGCTACTCTAGCTTTCTTTTGACTTCCAGTAGCATGATACATGGTTTTCCATCCCCTCACTTTCAATCTGAAGGTGTCCTCAGGTCTAAAATGGGTCTCTTGTAGACAGTAAATAGATGGATCTTGTTTTTTTATCCATTCTGATAACCTGTGTCTTTTGATTAGAGCGTTTAGTCCATTAACATTCAGTGTTATTATTGAAAGATATGGATTAGACTCATTGTGTTAGCTGTAGGTTTCATGCTTGTAGTGATTTCTCTGGTCCTTTGTGGTCTTTGCAAAACATTGCACTCAGAGTCCCCCTTAGGATCTCTTGTAGGGCTGGTTTAGTGGTGATGAATTCCTTGTTTTTGTCTGGTAAAACCTTTATCTCTCCTGCTATTCTGAATGACAGGCTTGCTGGATAAAAGATTCTCAGCTGCATATTTTTCCTATTCGGCACATTGAACATTTCCTGCCACTCCCCTCTGGCCTGCCAAGTTTCAGTAGATGGGTCTCCTACTACCCTTATGTGTCTACCCTTGTAGGTTAAGACCCATTTGTCCCTAGCTTCTTTCAGAAACCTCTCTTTATCTTTGTATTTAGCCACTTTCACTATGATATGTCATGCAGAAGATTGATTCAAGTTACATCTGAAGGGAGTTCTCTGTGCCTCCTGGATTTCAATGTCTGTTTCCTTCCCCAGATAGGGGAAGTTCTCAGCTGTGATTTGTTCAAGCACATCTTTGGCCCCTTTCTCTCTCTTCTTCTGGAACTCCCGTGGTACAAATATTGTTCCATTTCATTGAGTCACTTAGTTCTCTAATTCACTGCTTGTGGTCCAGAATTTTTTTCTTTCTCAGCTTCATCTTTTTCCACAATTTTATCTATTTCACCTATTCTCCCCTCTGCCTCTTCAATCCTTGCTGTTAGGCAATCCTTGCCTCTAGTTTATTTTGCACCTCATTTACAACATTTTTTAATTCATCATGACTGTTTTTTAGTCCCTTCATCTCTGCAGCAGTAGATTCTCTGCTGTGTTCTGTCTTCTGTGTGTTCTGTCTATGCTTTTTTCAAGCCCAGAGATGAATTTTATGACAATTATTCTAAATTCTTGTTTAGTTATATTGTTTATATCTGTTTTGGTCAATTCTTTAGCAGTCATTTCTTCCCGGAATTTCTTTTGAGGGGAATTCTTCCGTTTCATCATTTTGGCTAGTTTTCTGTCCCTGATGTGTTTTAAAACTTATGTGGCCTGCACCTGGGAGCACTACTATATTAAAGGGTCATACACTATCCAGGGCCTGGCCCTTCAGGAGGTGTTTTTTCGAGTGTGTTAATTTGTTCTCTGTTGTTGTGATTCTGGTTGCTTTATCTCCCTACGTGTAGTCATGTTTTGGACCCTCCACTAGGTGTGCTTTGATTTGTTTGCTGAAGTAGCCCTGTGGCCCGCTAGGTGTCCCTGTGGGTCCCTGGAGACATCTTTGTCACTATGCAGCCCGGACTCTTGGAATTCAAAGTCTTTTGGCCTCAATACTGCTGTGTTTGAGGGATGAGGGAATTTCAGGTCCCCCTACTTCTCCACCATGTTGGATCTCTTCCAGTCCATAGGCCTTGAGTAGTACTGAGCTAGGGTAATGTCATCTGATGAAACAAATGGTCCCCAACATGTAAAGTGTTCAAACAAGTAGAGGTTTTGAAATTTATAACACTTTTTCTGACAATTGGAAACATGATAGAGTTAGGATAACTGGAAGAATGAATATGAATTATGTTTTATTCTGTATTTATTGCTAATTCATTCAGAATGACTTAGACCATCCTGATATTTGCTTTTAAAACTTAATTTGTAGGAGTGCTTAGGTGGCTCAGTTGGTTAAGTGTCTGACTTTGGCTCAGGTCATGATCTCACGGTACAATGTGATCTTTATTTCTGAAGATGTTTTTACAGCAGTCAACCCCTGGTTTGAATTTTGGTTCTGTTCAACTTTCTTCTGGAAATTCATCTAACATCCAGCAACTTGCACCTATAAGTATGCAGGGCCAGGTCGTTCAAACCAACCAAATTCAGAGTGGAATGAATACTGGACACATTGGCACAACTCAGCATATGATACAACAGCAGACTTTACAAAGTACATCAAGTCAGGTAATGATATCAAGTATAGTGGGTTATGGAGTGCTCAGTGACTGAAATGTGTGCTATTGCTGAAACAAAAATGAAGCTCTATCTCGAATAATTCCATATTTTAACAGTAATAATTAGAAAGTTTAGGGGCTCCTGGCTGGTTCAGCCAGTAAGACCGTATTGTCTCATGATATCAGGGTTGTGAGTTCAAGCCTCACCTTGGGCTTGGAGTCTACTTTAAAAATAAATAAATAAAATAATAGGAAGTTTTATTTTTGAGGGTGATCATTAAAATATTTGGTACAAAATTGTTAAATTGTTGATGTTAAATGTTTTCAGTATTTTGACATTTAAAAATTTTATAGTTGGGGCACAGTGATAGTTTAATCAATATTCTAAGAAATTTCATATAAATTCCAGGAAATTTGATGCAGGTAATTGTTATACATCTGTGACTGTAAATCCCAAGACTTCAAATGAAATCTATAAAGATGTCTAATGTCAGTCACTCACTTTGGGCATTTAACAGAAATTGCTCATCTATATTTTATTTCATCCCTGTTAAGATCATGCTCCTTTTCTAAAATCATACCTTGTATTCAAGCAAGGATTGAAGACTAATTCATTCTCAGTTACTATAAGTCTTTTTCCTTTGTATTAGATTTCTCCCAGAGTAACAAGTCCTGCCTCTTCTTTTCTTGCCAGCTGTTGTTAGAATGATGCTAATAGTGTATGTATATTTACTGAAAAAATGTTTTCATTTAATTTATCTGTAAAATCTTCTGTTTTCTAGCAGAGTCAACAAAATGTACTGAGTGGGCACAGTCAACAAACCTCGCTTCCTAGTCAGACACAGAGCACACTCACCACTCCGCTGTATAACACTATGGTGATCTCACAGCCGGCAGCTGGAAGCATGGTCCAGATTCCATCTAGCATGCCACAGAACAGTACCCAGAGCACTGCTGTAACTACATTCACTCAGGACAGACAGATCAGGTAGTTGTCATATTTCATGAGTTTTTCCAAAGTTGTAAAAATTGATTAGTTAAAAAACAGTAATTTGATTTGAAAAAACAGTTTGTAGCTAACTCCCACCAGAGTTCTTGAATTTGAAATAAAATTGCAGAATATGTTCATTGTTTAAGGACTTTGTAATAAACGGACAACAAGTTTTGTTCTTGGTCCAGAAATGTTCTACCAAATATTATAGAATCCAGCATCTACGGCATACTGTTATATAAGATTTGTGGCAGGGTTTGTATCACTCTGAAACTTTCATCATTGTAGTACAAATGTTGAGTTTTCAGGCAGTAACAGTGGTTAGGGTGGATACTAGCATAAGTTGATATATGTCATGGAATAAAATTAATTTACCTTTCTTGAGTTTTTTGAGTACTGTACTAGGTGCTCAAAATACACTGTCTCATTTAACTCTTTTTTTTTTATTTAAATGTGTATTAGGGTCATTTATTTCCCAGATAAGAAAAAAGTGAGTTTATAGTAATTTGGTCAAAGGCTTATAGGTAGCAAAAGGGGTGATGAGCAGTTTCTGAATTTTAGCTTTGGTGTCTGATTTCAAAAGTACACTAAACATTTGTGGGTCATTCTAGAAAAATAGCCATTCATGACTTATTTTAGTGGGCAGTCCAAATAGCTGACTTAGAAACAAATATTTTGGGGGCACCTGGGTGGCTCAGTTGGGCATGCAACTCTTGATTTTGGCTCAGGTCATGATCCCAGGGTCTTGGGATTGAGCCCTGTGTCAGGCTCCACACTGAGCATGGATTAAGATTCTCCCTTTCCCCTCCCCCTCTCCCTAGCGTGCGCACTCTCGCTCGCTCTCCCAAAAGAAACAACAACAGAAAACAAGTATTTTGAAGAAATATCATTATTTCATATATTGGGAAGCTATGTTTTAATGACTATAGGATCTCTATAGTCTTAAAACTTCTATTTAAAATATTTTTTATTTTTTACTTATTTTACTGTAATACAAGTAGGCTGCTGCTTTTATAATTTCATTGTTGTATCACACTGTGTTAATAGATTTTGTTAAAATCCAATAATTTCCAGAGAGTAAAGAAGCTACAGGATCACAGAAACAGTGAGAGCGGGAGAACTTGCTTCTCTTTGGAACTTAGTTCCTCAAGTTAAGTCCAACTTTTAGGTCTGATATTCTGAAAGGAGATGTTATGAATGTGCTCCATTGAAATCTAGAGGGTTCGTTTTAAAGCCTGAGGAAAATTTCATTAGTCTAGAACGCTGATGTGCATTTTGGAGGATACAGTTTAGCAACTACTTGTAGAACCTCTTTTTTTTTGAGGGGAAAATATATATTTCAGCGAACATTTGAGTGCCTACTAAAGTGAGTATGGCTGGTACATTCCTCATCTCAAGAATGATCAGACTAGGAAGCCATAAAAAGTTAAATCAGTATTACTGTATGATAAATACTTCTGCTTAGGTCTTTAGAAAGAGGAAGTGAGCAGGTTTATAGATTGAGGCAAACAGGTGAAGAGAGGAGTGTGGTCAAGGCAAACTTCACAGAGGAGGTACTTGGCGTGAGTCTTAAAGAGCTTGGCTGTGGGTGTACATGTGATAGGAAGTCTCAGGAGGGTGTTCTCAGCTCAGGGAACAATATATACAAAGCCACAGAAGTGATAGTTAAGCATAAGTAGATTGAAGAATGTCTTTTGGTGCCAGAGATGGATGAAGTATTCTCATCACATTTTATCAGTGAGCAGTTTGGGCAATTCAGATTTTAATTTCTTTTAAGATTTACAGAGAATCGAGGATTTAATACTTCTGTGCCTAAAACACTTTCCAAATGTTACTTTTTCTTTGGGCATCATTCTTCATATGTAAATATTTTGTTCTTTTATACATATTTTTTGCATTGAATAATACATTTGGTCCTGAAGTATACATAAAATAGAGTGTTTTATTTTAAAGATATGGTATGGATTCAAAAATAGATTCTGGATGTTGTATGTAAGTGATGAATCACTGAATTTCACTCCTGAAACCAATTATTGCACTTCATGTTAACTAAAATTGAAATAAATTTAAAAGAAAAGGAAACAAAAACAAAAAAATAGGTTTTGTCTTGTGGAGACCACATAAATAATAAAGTGCATTTGTACTAAGTTGGACACCGTTATGTACTTTCCTCAGTTTGTAAGTGCAGTTATGCTCCTTTCCCAGGAGAGGCTTAGCTCAGTTTTCTTGCTGTAGTGACCAATGTGAGCAGCTAACTTCATTTCACAGAAGAGGCAAATAGAAATAATGTTATTCCCTGAACAGGCACCAGGGTTTTTATTATTATTATTTTTAAAATAGAAGAAGGAAGGTGGGAAGGGAGTGAATGTTAGTGACTTCTAATATGGTAAGTACTATACTGCATTGATAAATGTATAAATTGATGGTACTTTTATTCACTGTTGGAATGTCATTTAATTTTCATTTATGTTTATAAGATACAATTTGCAATGTAAATGTCTTCTGTAAACTAGGGAGATTTTTAGAAATCCCTTATGATAGCTTAGCTGTAAGTTTATCCATGGTTAGCAAAATAATGTGCATTTTGGAGGACACATATATCGGACTCGCAAGTACCTAGTAATTTTATAAAAAGAAAAAAGGTATTTTTTAAACAGGTTTAAAACTTTTTTCATTGTGGTAAAATAATACATAAATATACATGTTAACGGTTTCAGCAGTTCATTGGGTACATGCATACTGTTGTGAACATCACTACCATCAGTCTCCAGAACTTTTTTCTTCTTCCCAAACTGAAACTCTGTACCCATTGAACAATAATTCCCCATTCCTTCTACCCTCTACCTTCTAGAAGCCACTCTCCTGCTTTCTAAGCACATAAGTCTATGAGTTTCACTACTCTAGATACCTCACACAAATGGGATCATACAGTGCATGTCTTTTGTGACTGGTTTATTTCACTTGACACAGTGTCCTCACAGTTTGTCTGTGTTGTGGTGTGTGGTAGAATTTTATTCTTTTTTCAGGCTAAGTAATATTCTGTTGTATGAATATACCACATTTTATTTGTTACCCATCGATGGATAGTTGGGTTGCATCCATCTTTTGGCTGTTTTGAATCATGCTGCTGTGAACAAATATTTGTGTACAAATATCTGAGATCCTGCTTTCAGTTCTTTCGAGCATATGCTCAGAAATGGAATTGCTGGATCATGTGGTGATTCTGTACTTAATTTTTTCAGCAGTAGTCCATCTGTTTTCCATAGGAGCTGCACTATTTTACATTCCTCTCAGCAGTGCGTATCCCAGCTTCTCCATGTCTTCACCAACACTAGTTATTTTGTTTGTTTTATCATAGTCATCCTGGTGGAAGTGAAGTGATTCACATTTCCCTTATGATTAGTGACATTGAGCATCTTTTCATTTGCTTACTGACCGTTTATTTCTTCTTTACAAAAACATCTATTCAAGATACTTGCCCATTTTTTAATCAGATTGTTATAGGATTGCTTTATATATTCTAGTTATTACCCCTTATCAGATGATATGATTTGCAAATAATTTCTTCCACTCTGTTGGTTTCTCTTTCTCTGTGTTGATACTATAGTGTCCTTTGATGCACAGAAGTTTTTAATTTTAATATCCAGTTTATCTGTTTTTTTTCTTTTGTTGCCTGTGCTTTTGAGTGTCACATCTGAGAAATCATTGCCCAATCCAATGTCATGAAACTTTCCCCCTGTTTTCTTTCCTAAGAGTTTCATGCTTGTAGCCCTTATGTTTAGTGCTTTAATCCACTCTTGAGTTAATTTTTGTATGTGGGGTAAGGTAAAGGCCCAGCTTTATTCTTTTGCACATGGATATCCAGAAACTTTGTATTTGTTTTGTGATCATTTCATTTTGCTTATACATTTTTGTTTTACTGGTGCCCCAGAAGGAATCTTTAAAAACATGAAACAAAATTGGAACGTACAGCTTTTAAAAATCTAAACTGGCAATATCACTGGGTATTAAAGAAGTATTCAGCTCACTGCCTTTTATAATGAATACTTTATCTTTCTGACGTCCCTTCTTCTCTTTATTTCCTCTTAACAGATTTTCTCAAGGTCAGCAGCTTGTGACCAAATTAGTAACTGCTCCTGTAGCTTGTGGGGCGGTCATGGTACCCAGCACAATGCTCATGGGGCAGGTGGTGACTGCCTACCCTACGTTTGCTACCCAGCAGCAGCAGCCACAGGCACTGCCAGCCACACAGCAGCAGAACTCCCAGGAACAGCCACTTGCTTCAGTTCAGCAACCTTCTCAGGCTCCGCTGACCCAACCACCACAGCAGTTTTTACAGGTAATTTTGCCCATGGGAGCTCTCCCAAGCCTGTTTACTTTCATATAATGAAATTAGACATTAAGAGAAGTTTTGTAAATCATCCGAAAAATCCATACAAGCTTATTGTACAAGTTAAATCTCTGGAAGGACAGAAAGCTTGTCCAGCTAGCTATCATTTCTTCCCTTGTCTGGTCTCTGGAAGACTTCTAGCACTGCTGTGGACATGGCCAGTTCTCTGAACTACTGGATAGAAATAAGGAGCTACTTGCTGCCCACCTACACATCAAGCCACTTTATATAGAGTTCTGTCCGGCTAGAGTTTCTAGAATTCACCAGACACTTTTCTTTCTTCCTTCTAAGCAGCCCATCAGATTCTATGCTCTACTCTACAGGGCAGGCATGTCAACAGGGATTTAAAAAAAAAAAAAAAGTTATAGGCATTATCTTGAATTATTATGTTGGATTAAATTTTACAATGATTTTTTGGTTATAAATTAATATCAGAGGAGAAATACTGTGGAGGGCTGTGTATGTCATAATTGAGAGCTTGGGCTCTAAAGTCAGGCTGCCCTGAGACTGAGTCACTGCTGTACCATATACTGTGTGACCTTTGGTAGGTTATTTACCAAAATTCATCTATAATATGGAGGTGCTAATAGTTGATATCTCATGGGTAAACAGTACATGTAAATCACTGAACATAGTTACAAGGCACATAATGAGCTGAAATTTATCAGCACTGTCTTGATTAATGTAGCAAACACTAAGATCAGCCAAAATGTAGACACATGTCTTCTCATGTATCTCAATAGATACCTGGATATATGCTTATCTAATGGATATGGAAGAAAGTTACGTAGGGTTAGCTGGGATTTCAGGATAAATTCCTGGACCTCAGTACTCTCAGTGGAGTGCACAGTAGCAGATTATGACATCTGGAAATCCAGCTTTTTCCCTTCTTGCCTAAGGGGAGCAATTCTGAATGTAGGCTAGCCTAGATTTGTGCTGGAGACCATTCCATGTAGGCCAGCCACATACATATCATATCATCAATTTTAGGGTTCCACAATATATGGTGTGATTAGAAGATTCAGTATTGTATACTCAGGCATAAACACATTATTAATTTATCACCCGTGTTACGGTGCACATAGAGTTCTTAACCTGGTGATATGGAAAGCTAAAACTTAAGGTTAGTTGCCTAAATGTCTGAGTCATACTGACAGTCCTGTAGATCTTAAAGCCCATACTGTAGCTGTTAATGACTAGGCTAGCTATTGTTATAAGTGAATTAATAACAACTTAAAACAAGTTATAAACTATTATCTAGAGGAAATAATATTCAATGAGAATTGAGCAAAACCTTAAAAAAGGAGAGAACTTGCCTTAAGGTCCCAGTCTTCTAAATCTGTCAGGGAACAAGAGTTCTTAAAAGAACAAGCATTCTCTGACCTCAGCCGTAGCAACTTCTTACTAGACATGTCTCTGGAGGCAAGGGAAATAAAAGCAAAAATGAACTATGGGGACCTCATCAAGATAAAACCTTCTGCACACCGAAAGAAACCATCAACAAAACTAAAAGGCAACCAACAAAATGGGAGAAGGTATTGCAAATGATGTGTCAGATAAAGGGTTAGTATCCAGAATCTATAAAGAACTTCTCAAACTCAACAACCCCCCCCAAAAAAAATAAGCCAGTGAAGAAGTTAGCAGAAGACATGAATAGACACTTCTTCAAGATATCCATGTCACTAACAGACACATGAAAATCTGCTCAACATCACTCATCATCAGAGAAATACAAATCAAAAACCATAATGAGATACCACCTCACACCTGTCAGAATGGCTAAAATTAACAACTCAGGAAACAACAGATGTTTGCAGGAATGCGGAGAAAGGGGTTCCTTTTTTACTGCTGGTGGGAATGCAAACTGGTGCAACCACTCTGGAAAACAGTATGGGGGTTCCTCAAAAAACTAAAAATAGAACTTCCCTATGACCCAGCAGTTGTACTACCAGGCATTTTTTCAATGGATACAGAAATGCTGATTCGAAGGGGCATGTGCACCCCAATGTTTATAGCAGCACTATCAACAATAGCCAAATTATGAAAAAAGCCCAAATGTCCATCGACTGACAAATGGATAAAGAAGATGTGGTATATATATAACTTATATACGATGGAATATTGCTCAGCGATGAAAAAGAATGAAGTCTTGCCATTTGCAACAACATGGGTAGAACTAGAGTATATTATGCTAAGTGAAATAAGTCAGAGAAAGACAAATACGATTTCACTCATCTGTGGAATTTAAGAAACCCACCAGATGAACATATGGGAAGGGAAGGAAAAATAGGATAAAAACAGAGAGGCAAACTATAAGAGACTCTTAAAGTACAGAAGACAAACTGAGGGTTGCTGGAGAGGAGGTAGGTTGGGGATGAGCATTAAGGAGGGCACTTGTTGGGATGAGCACTGGGTGTTATACGTAAGTTATGAATCACTGGGTTCTACTCCTGAAACCAATACTACACTGTATGTTAACTAATTTGAATTTAAATAAATACATTAAAAAAATAAAGTAAAAACACTTAAGACAAAAATACTAATTTGAAAGGATATGTGCACCCCTGTGTTTACTGCACTATCCACAATATCCAAATTATGGAAGCAACCCAACTGTCCACCAATAGATGAATGAATAAAGAAGACGTGTGTGTGTGTGTGTGTGTGTACACTTGAATATTATTCAGCCATGAAAAAAATGAAATCTTGTGATTTGCAATACCATAGATGTAGCTAGAGAGTATAATGCTAAGTGAAACAAGTCAGACTGAGAAACGCAAATACCATATGATTTCAGTTGTATGTGGAATTTAAGAAACAAATGAGCAAATGAATAAAGAAAGAGGCAAACCAAGAAATAGACTTTTAACTATAGAGAACCAACTGATGGTTACCAGAGAGGAGGTGGTTGGGGGGAGGAAATAGGTGATGGGGGTTAAGGAGTGTGCACTTGTGATGAATACCAGGTGTTGTATGGAAGTGTTGAATCACTATTGCTAACCTAGTATTTCTGTGTTAACTATACTGGAATTAAAACAAATTAACCTGCCCCCCCAAAAAAAATAAATAAAAAGCATTCTCTTATCCCTCCCTTCTGAAAAAAGTATCCCAAAGACATGGGGCCCCTAAAGAAATAAGGTAGACAATACCCTTTAGAAATGCACTTCTATGTAGATAGTAAATACACAATTTGGCTTTTCTGATTATATAACACCTGGTTCCAAATACGCCTCTGTTGTAATCCTGTAAGACTCACAAATATCCTGAGCTCTTTATGTTACAAAAACTTTTTCTAAATAACAGAAAAAGAGGTTTTTCTAGGTCCTTGGCAAAGTGTAGGGTTCAAGGACCTGTCCTTGTGTGTGTGTGTGTGTATGCGTGTGCACACACGTGTGTGCACAGGTGTCCTTTATAAACATTTGCAAAAATCTCCCATCATATGTTTAGATTAGGAGCGCTGCATCAAGGTGTGTTGTCAGTAAGACTGAGAAAATTCATTTAAAACTTCACTTTCTTTGGGCTAATTTCCTTTGTATAACCAGAAATAGAAATCAGGTGAAAGAAAGAGGCTCACGGAGTTGAGACTTGCCCAGGGTTACACAGCTAATAAATAAATGGCAGAGCACAACTCAAATTGAAGGCTTCTGATTTCAGATCCTGTGCCCTCGTGTGATTGGTTGGTTTGTTTTTACAACCACACTGCTACATATAAGACCTAAGTGTCTAATTTTGCCTTCGTTTTTCTGGTACTTTTAAATAACACTAATTTTAATATTTAATCTTAATAAAAACCCAGTATGGAGGCACTGCGATTATCTTAATTTTGTAAATGAAGAAACCGAGTCCCAGAGAAGTAAATAGTTTGAACAAGTCACACAGTCTAGCAAGTGGGTTAGCCAGAGTTTGAACCCAGTGGCCCATGCTCTGGGCTACTGACGTGCCGCCATAACCAACTGAACAGACTGCAGAGGCACTGTCTCTTTGACCCCAGAGTATATGTGTTTCGTATGTTCCTGCCTATGCTTACATTTTACTGTCTAAAATTGTGGTCTTTAGGATTTATAAAAGGAAAAAATATGTGTGGTTGGTCTCATGACATAGATTGCTTTCTCTACCATAAAATATCTAGCTCAGATTCCTTAAAGAAAGAAATTCGGTACTTTCAAAAGAAGGGAAAGCCTCATAAGCATTTTCCAAAATACTATTTTTAAATGAGAAAGTACAAATGATGTAGATTATGTGGAATTTAAGGATTCTGCTCCTATGTAGAGCAGAAAACTTGAGTAAATCTTGATGTAGACAGCATAACGAGGGTAAAGCAATGTTGCATAATTCATTTGTTTTCTAGACTTCAAGGTTGCTCCACGGGAATCCTTCGACTCAGCTTATCCTCTCTGCTGCATTTCCACTACAACAGAGCACTTTCCCTCAGTCACATCACCAGCAGCACCAGTCTCAGCAACAGCAGCAACTGAATCGGCACAGGACTGACAGTTTGACCGATCCTTCCAAGGTTCAACCACAGTAGCACACATCCCTCCTCTGTGATCTCAGGAGGAAGGGGTTGTCCTTAAGAGTTGCTCAGATGATCTGAGACTAGGAGGAGAAGGTCCAGCAGTTTCACAAGATGCAGTATTGAGTGTTCTAGTTTCTGGACTTAGTTAGCAGGGAAAGTGCTGCCTAGTGCTACAAATGTACATTAAATACCAGCCAGCAGGAGATGATCATGGGGCCATAGCCAATTCTGACAGTGTTTTACTCGCCCAGCTATTTTTCAAATGGAAAGATAGATTGCCAAATGTTAAGCTCAGCTATGAAACATGACCTCCGGTCAATCAGAAAGGCACTAACAATGTTAGTAACTTTTAGTGGTTCTGTGCCTGTTTTCAAGTGTTACAGAGGACACGCCACTGTCATGTCAGGGGTTTGCGTACAACGATGCCATGAAGACAGTCCGGTAGACCCAGTAGACCCCTTCCCCATCCCCTCTCCCTTTTCAGATAATGATTGAATAGTAATTTCAGAATGTCGTGTGGTTCAAATGCTCTATGTACAGATACTGTAAAAATATTATGTATATGTCTGGATAAAAGGAGAGAAAGCAAAACATTTTGTAAGCTGCATGAAAGCATTATCTCCTCTTAGGTATGAGTATATTTCCTTAGATTCTGACGCCATGTGCAAACTAGTACATCCTCTGTTTCCCCTCTTGTTTACAACACGGTAGTGTTCTCACTTTTCCGGGGCACAAGGCTTTTTGTTCATACTTTGGCTGTGATGTCACAGTTTGTTCAGTGAGGTATGATGTGCTGCTGGGAATGGATATTTTTTTCCAGGTTAAATTATTGAGACAACAGGATTTTCAAGTTACTCAGAAATATCCTTTATTTCATTATTTTTCATTTATGTTTGAAAATAGGATTTGCACTGCTTTATTTTAGATGGTTGGAAGTTTTGGTCACATATTTTGATATATAGTTCATAGTTGGAAATAGTTGTGTAAACGGTTTTCAATAAGCCTGAAAGTAATTTCAAGAATGTTTCAGTTATAGGAGTAAAATTTGCACACAAAAGATTTTAGGCACTTTTTAACATTCTCACTGGTGGGAATTTTAACTTTTAGGATTTGTTGGAATCTTTTTATTATCCTTCACAATTTCAATGCTTCTTTTAGTCAGAAATGATTCAGGGTTATTTGAGGGGAAAAAAAAAACCCATAGTGCCTTGATTTTGATTCAGGTGATAACTCACCATCTTGAATTCATTGTCTGGTTTCAGTAGCAGTTTTGAAACCTTAGTACATTTTTAACAGCATGTGGGTGTCAGTGCCATTATGATTCTCCTAAGTTTCCACGAAGACTGCTTTGAGTCTCTTGGACTGGAGGTACAAGTAACTTAGAAATAAATACAAGGTGACATCCTGACACTATCAGAGTCATTGATGTGATCACAAAATTGTTTCCTAAATCAGCATCTTCCTTTAAAGCTGAACAGTTAAGAATTACCTGTCAATGTTTTCTATATATGATCTTGATATTCCTACAAAGAAAAAAGAAGGGGTAAGAATTGGCTTTGCCTTTACTATAACACTAGAATATTGTAACTCACATGCTTTCTAAACGTGAACTAAGATTTCATTTGGCAATATTAGATTCTAAAGGTAATAAATTCCAACAGAAATTACATACATAAAAAGATCATCTTAGAGCTTTTATGGTACTAATAATTAAATTGACAACCACAGAGCAAAGGAAAATTAATGGAAATACCTTATTAAAATATCAAAAATTATTACTGAAGGGAGGATAGCAAGCTGTAGTTAACTCAAAATTGACCTTAAAAGGAAATGTGTAACAGAACTGAAAAAGGTTTTGAGCAATGAAAATATTGTACTATAGAATTGCTCGACAAAAGAGTCAGAGGAATTTCTAAAACCGTTCTTATGACTTTTCTGTCCTTCACTTTGCTATCATCCCAAAAGGATAGACTTTGTCTTTCTACAGACAACTCTACCTGGCCACACATCTATTAGAGAGTTCATATTGAAGAAGAAAATAACCAAAGAAAGTTGGTACCTAGCCTTCTACAAAAGAAGTGTCACTGGATACCAATCAATAATGAACATATCAAGAAGCTCCTCTTCTAGCTAAATGATCTGGATGAAGAGATTTCTGACTTCCTCATGAATGTCAAGAATAGCTGTCAGAATATGTATGTAACTTGAGCGTAGGTACACATAGGTGAAATTGATGTAGAATATGGCAACAGTATTAGTTTTCTCCCCTTTCAGATTGCCTTTCTCAACCTTACCATGCCATTCCATATATCTGAGTTGTGCCTCATTTATTTATTGGCAGTATTTAGTGGTATGGATAACAAAAGATATGAAGAACTATAATATTTATTAAGATTTATCCTCTAAATACCGTACTTAAAGGGAAAGATGGTGAACGGTGAGTACTGTGTACTTAGGTCTTCAAAGGCAAAGCAGAAGACAAGCCACAAGGTAAATCTGTAGACTGTTCACATTCTCCTCTACCAGTCCCTTCAAGTATTTTCCATCCTCATAGATATTTGGGAAGGAAAATTAGACAAAATGATGTTTTGTAATTCCTGTTGTTCCTCACAGCCCATTTTTGCCCTGCTTAGAATTGATTGAATTTAAAGGGACAGCTAGCTGTGTTCCCTTGGCTGTCAATATATAGTGTTGTCGAAGAGCTAGTAAGCGCCAACTGCCTCAGCTCCTCTGTGTCCCGTTCGGCCTCCCCCCCCCGCCCAGCCCCCGGTTTTTCTTGAACTTGGGTTGCAGAGCTGCCCCTGCCCCTCCCCCATAATTGAGACTTGAGCATTCTGATGAAGACTGGGCAGTTGCCTGATCTTCGTTCCTGTAGCCAAAGTTGTTCATTAAAATCCCAAATCTACGTAATGAAAAAATACCAAATACAGACACCTTTCAGCTACTTAAAAGTCACCATCTTCCCTCCGCTGTACTCTTACAGCGATTCATTTTTTCTTACAAAACATTTTATTCTGGGTGGCACTTTTTAAGTGACAAACTATTGAAGATCTGGAAAAACGTGAGCTGCTCTGCAGTCGCCCTGCTCTGCACTGTGGTGGCCCCCGGTGCCAGTGCTGTTAAACCCTTCAGGCGAGGCTGCGGGGGTCAGTCACGTTGCTGCTAAGAGTGGTGTCAGACCAGAACCCAGATGCTCAAAAGTACTCTGATTTTTGAGCTGGAATATATTAGAGGAAAAGCAAATGTGAGGAATGGGGATGGCAATAGGTAAATACTACTGTTCAGTCTCCAAACTCTGTCCTAAGCTGAGGGGGTAATTCGAGCCCCATGCTCCGCTTTGTTACTTACATCTGGTTTAGGAATGTACTAGTAATAAAAGATGCCAGTGACTTTGAATAGGTGGTTACAGAATACTTAGTGCAGAAGAGTGAAAATGTTATTTGCATTCTTCAGAAGTGCTAAGAGTCTTTGGTCATTGCCTTAAAGCGGTCTGCTTGCAGTTAGTTAAGGGCACTGAAGCAGTGCAGCTCCATGCAGGGCATTGCAGTGAAGGGAGATGAACCTTTGTTCAAGAGGCCTTAGAAAGGGGCCCCTCGAAATAGTACTCTTTCTCCGGCTCCACAGTGGTGAAAATTATTTTCAACTGGATATTATTCAACTTGATTTCTAATGTTTCCACTACAGTGAGGTAAACCTTTTCCTTTTTTTAAAGTGGAATGCAAACAGCATTTTACTTTGGTATTGCTCGTTTCTCCTTTTTTTCTTTTTCTCTATTTCTTTGGTGATTGAGTTTGTTGATGATGGACATTTGTGGAAAACTCATTCAAGTCTATAACCTTTCCAATATCTGTGATCCTATTCCTAGTCCCTTGGGAGTCAGTGTTGGAAGGTATAAACACTGGATATTACTATTGCTGAGTGAGTCTAGCCAGGAGTGAGCAGATTGGAATTTTCAAATGGTGGAAAAGGAACAGCACAAAGGCACTTGCCATTTTAATTAGCAATTGGAGAGAGAGACCCTTTTAAGTTTGTTTGGGTTGGGTGAGCATTCCTCTAAAAGGAGCTTCTGAAATAAATGCAAAGGAAAAGAGTCGACTATTTTTATAGCATATTTAATATATTTGTATATAACTATGAATATGGTAGGAACCCTCCACATGCCTCCACTTTTCTAATTTACTCCCCCTTTTGCCATAGCACTAGTATAGCCTCATCCGCATGGGTAACGTGCCTATTGTCAGCCTACCAAAAGATAGCGCTGCTGCTTTCTGAGACAGGTGAGACCACCCAACTCTCATGCCTGGGGATCCTTTCTGTAGGAATAGCACACACTTCGAAAACAACATAACCACAGTCTGAAAGCATCATTTTGAAATGTAACAAGCACTTTATTGCAACTATTCATTTTGATAAAGTTTATTATCTTAAGCATTACCATTTCTAAAGGATCCCCAAATCATCACTTAGGTGAAATTTTAAAATGATACATTTCTGAGAAATGTTTAGATCCAGTGAACCGTAGCAGGTTTCTGGGAGTGATTTCAAGGTAGCCAAATGAACTTTGACTTTGGTTCTGAATGTGGCGGAGTCAAGAGATTGTAGATGGCTAGTTCCGTTTCGACACTATTGTAAACCTGTCTTGCCTATCATGTAGACACCAAAAGAGACCAATGAGCCTGTTTATTTTCAGAGGCCTAGGACAGTTGCATCAGTGTGAATAGATGTATAGAACTAACCTAAAAGTGACTGGTAGTAATATTTTAGAATATGATAATTTCAAGAATTCTTCTGGGTGTTTTAAATGTGCTCTGAAATGTTGGCATGTCATTTCAGCGTTTCCATTTGAATTGCTCTTATAATCTCTTTTGCACAAAAAGGACTGAGAAAAAGACAACTTCAGTTGAAGAAAAGTATAATTTGGTCTTATTTTAAATATGTCTCCTGTGGAAACACAGGGGATGAATTTTGTTGGTATAGTTAGTTATTAATTCAGGATATTTAAAACAGTATTGAACAGCTCACAAGAAATTCAGCAAATGTGGACATTTAAAAATTAAAACTTTGTTTCCATGTGACTGTTTTGCATATTTTCCCCCTTGTCATAATTTAACACTACATTCCTTGTTTTTCTTAAATAAAATAATACTTTGCAGGTTCTGCTTTGAGTATTTAACAATATTTTTGTAAGCTGCCTGGGTCTTCCTAGGGAAACGTTTAGTGAAGTAGGATATAGTTTATGAAGAGACTGTTGAAGTGGAATCCCATCACCACCACCAGCAAACACTGAGGTGCTGCATTCAGTGACAATCAAAATAGTGAGTATTTATGGAAGAATTTAGAACGTGATTTTAAAGAGGCAATTGCTTTGAAAGCAGTTCTCTGGGTTTGTTGAATGAAAATGGCTAAATGTATTTATTTATATTTTTAAATATCTGTGTTGTTTTCTCATCAGAGTGATTTCACAGTGTCATGTATTTAATTTGTGGTTTGTTTTGTTCTGCTTCGTAATCTTCTACTTAAAAGAACTGGCTCCTCTATCTGGGGGCGCAGTCTCCAGCCCTCACCAGGACTGTCCCTGGGCCAATCCAAATCTGTTTTACTTCAGGACGGCAGTGGAGGGCCCAAAGCCGGATGCCCTGGCACTTCCCTCCTGTTCTCAACTCATTTAAGAAAAAATAAAGGTAACTCCTTCCAAATTTGCTTTGTATAGCTCCAACCTTTTTTCTAGTTTCACTTGCTGCCTTTTCTATTTTATGGGTACTTTTTATAGGATTACTTCCCCAATGCAGCCAAAGGCCAGTAGGACAGAACCAGTGGCACACATTGCCTCTGTTCTGCCCATTTGGGGAAATGTTAGTAAGAAGATCGGGATCTTCGAATGGCTGTCACTATCATATCCATAGTAAAGCCCATTTCAAGTCCTTAAATACAGGTGGAACAACGTATGTGCACTGTACTCTCCTACAAAAACTGTTTGCTGTCTTTAGGGTACTGTTGCTTGGCTCTACAAAAACAAGGCCTTCATACACAGTACTAGCCACTCAAGTAGTGTTGGGACATTTGAAGCCTACAAGTTGGAGGATACTTCTTAGCTAGTATACATCGGAACAGAATTCTCCATTCTAGGGCTCTCCGAGGAGCTCTTGAGTCCCACAGGCCTCCAGCGGCGTGTACCATCTAGCTTTCGGGACCCCTCAGAGAATGATAACCAAAGCATGTCAGCCACAAGTTGGATTTAATGATGTAGAACATGTTTAACTCTGAGGCTTAAAATGAAAATGTGTTTCAAATGTATGCTTTTATTTCTGAGGAAACAAACTGTGACATCGCTTAAAAAATGACATTCAAATGTTTTATGTGTGTTTTGAGTTATTCTGTACTGGTGCAAATTCACTGCTGGCAATGGTTGTGCCAGTACTAAAGAGTTAGTAGAGAAAGCTCTATTATCCTTAGATTGATGTATTATGTACCTAGACAATCATCAAGCAAAACAAAGTTGGCCAGGAAATGTCTTTTTTTTCCCCCCATGTCAGCTAGAACAGCTGTAACTTTAGACCATTCTAGAATTATTTTGGAATCTGTTTTACTATGGCGTAAGTTGGGGAAGGGCCTCAGTATGGCACTTGCACATTTACTCTATGTAGAGATGGAAGCCCAAAGATGAGTCACATTCAGTGCTGTGTTGAAACCAGTTAGTGCAAAAAAGTTTTATCTTTGTAAATTTTTAATTGTTAACATCAGTTAGTAGCTGTAAAAACATACACCAAATTCTTTCTAATGTTCTGTGTGATTCTTGGTTGTGCTACTCTTGACATTGCTGTCCTTACTGCTTGGTTCTTGGTTTTAGATAAAAATTAGATGTAGCCCATTGTCTTAACTTCCAAAAAGGTAGAGCTATATGTACATGGCTAACTGATCTTAAGAATACGTACTTTTCCTAAAGCAAACATTGAATTGAAATCCAAACTGATTTACAAAAACGAGATGGACATCTTGTAGGTATTGTATTCTGCCCCAATCCTAAATTGTACCGAAGCACGAAGGGATAATGAATGGTTTCAATGGTGCTATCTTAGGTTCTCTGCTGATTTTCATGAGCTGTGTTTGGAAGTACAATATTACATAAAACGTGGATCATTTTGTTACCAACTTACTATTGCCATTTTAATTTGGTGTTACAATTGGTTGCACTTGTTTTTCAGCACTGTCCTTTGAGAAGAGGTAATGTGTTTTATTAGCCTACCTCCACTCAGGCCTCTTGGTGTATGATCATTTCTCCAGGTTATGATGTGCACAGTTTTCTAAAACTACATGTACTATTATTATATTGCTCTTTCCCGTAGACTTTTGTAATGTATTCCGAACCTAAAATCATAACAAAAGAGCCAAGCAGTAGCATTGGTTTTTTTTGTTTTGTTTTTCGTTTTTTTTTTTTTTTTTTTTTTTTTTGTAAATGTAAAACTAATTAGATCCAGACTTTGTTTCCTTACTCAATTTTAAAAATAAAAAATACCTCAGTGCTATGTTTTTCAGTATCACCTGCATTTCTCAAAAAATAACACCCGCTTTATGTGGCACATAACTTGTAAGAATCACATTATTTTGGATTTTAAAGGAAGACTATTAAATATTTTAAAATCAACACCAATGACATTTTCTTTTCTTTTTACTCAGCAATGGAGTCTAACCACATTAGCGATTTTTACCTCGTAGCTTCGTGTCGGAACTGCCAAATTCTTGTAGTAGTAGTAGTACTGTCCTGGTACAAGGTGGTAGAGCCTCAAGAAAGCTATGCTGTCTGTTAGCCCCGCATTAAGCTAGTTCTTGGGCCAGGCTGCCTGCACTGCCAGTCGGGGTTGTGATGGCACCAGCTACTTTCTAACAGGGAATTCTCCTTTCTGGTCTTGGAAAAGAAAGAATGCAATTACTTGCTTGCTCTGTTTGTAATAATCTAAAGCAGTATTAGGGGAGTGGTGGTGTGGTCTAGGGATGTCAAGCTGAGATTTCTTTGAAGTGTTTTATCTTCCCAGGTGGACACTGTGTTTTTCTACCCTGTAATTACACTTCCGTTAAAACAGTCATTAAGATCTCTTCACGATAGTGGTTAGCGGTCTTTCCCACAGTGTCACTACAGAATGGTTGCTGCACTGACTTAACTGGATTTTTCCACAGTCTCTTGAAATGACAAATCACACATTGTGGACTTTCGTAATAGATCAGTAAACCCGATCTGCTCCGGGTCTACCCTTCTACTTCACACAAGGAACACGTGGGAGTTTTCTGCGGAAGACATGCCCTTCAGGTTGAAAGAGGCTATTAAATAACAGTGCTAGTTAGTGCACATGGTAATAGAACATAGCAGGCTGGGAGAAGGCAGTTATGTTGTTTGGATAGAATCATTAACAGTCAAGTTAGAATACACTTTAAATGACAGTGATTACCAAAGTTACTATGATAAGATGAGGTAGCCTTATGTAATCGAGGATTATAGGCTCTAGAATTCAACAGTGTGGTTTGATGCACTGTTCTGCCTAGAACTTTTCATCCTTACGTTAGTACCTTCTACCTCACAGAGCTGTGTGAGGGTTATGGGGAGACAGTGCTTTAGAAGACGGGCTATTTTTTAATACCGACTTTAGAAACTGGTCTGTAAATATTAATACTACAAAGTTACAAGTCTACATAACACACAAGGGAAAACAAGCTCTGGTCATACCACTTTTATTTACATCGTATCTATGTTACATTGTTTATTCAATATAGAAAAAATATGAATACACTCAGTATTCTCTTTTAATTTAGTAACTCCACGTTGTCAAATATTGACTGTTTTTATATTGGGTTTCCTACCCAATTAAAAAAAAGGGTGGGGGGGGGAGAATGAACCTGGCAAATAATTCTTGCCATGTTATAACAGTAATATGTTCCTCTTTAAAAAAAAAAAAAACAAAAGAAAACTGATTTTTAAAAGACTTGTGATTAAACTGCTTACTGGCTTAAGGAAATATTTTAAAAGATAAAAATCAATTCATTCCTCCCTCAAGAAAAATGTTAAGGCAGTTATCATCTTAAAAACAGCTCAGTGATCCAGGATAAAATGTATATTCCTCATAAAGGGGTCAGTACTAAAAGAAAGTCAAGGGTAGACCCCATCGCACAATGGTTCTATGTATGCCCTCTCCCACAAATAACTAAAAGAAAGGTGACCATATCAACATAATTGTGCTGGAGAAAAGAAAAATCCACACTTAGATACCTGGTTTCTTTTAAAAATCCATGTTGCAAACAGAAGCAATGATTATTTCTTTTGGACATTATACCTTCTTTAAATGGGTCAAACTGGCAAATCAACGCTACAAAATATGTCTTCTCCGTCACTTTTAGTTATAATGCACACTATGTACATAAAGACAAGAGTTACCTATCTTAAACTAAATACAAATTAAAAAACGGCTTGTTAAAAACCAGAATCGGGACTTATAAACAGTGCAGAAAATGCAAACGCCAAAAATACGATGCCTCCTATGATCGTCACTGTAAGAGAAGAGAAACAAAGTGAAATAAGGCAAAATTCCTCTAGGAGGGAGCTAAGGTGTTGCCCATTACTCTTACAATCTGGTAAACCCTGAAAAGAAATTAGAAACATTCAGGCCCCATTAAGTGAAGCAAAGCATACGTAATATGCCTGACTGTACAATAAGAATGCATTGCTTCCCCAGTGTTGTCTCGAGAGATGACAGTGTTGAAATTGAGACAGTGCTGGTACGCAGCAATACGACTGTAACTCATCTTAAAACCCAGTTATTAAAATGAATGTTCCACAATCTCTGACAAGCGAAGAGACTTCTGTATTCCATTTTTAGGCCCTAGCAGCTACACAGGAAATTCTCCTAGGTGGAATCCATAAACATGGTCTCCACCTACGAATCCCAGTCTTTTTTTTTTTTTTTAATTTTTTTTTTTTTTCAACGTTTATTTATTTTTGGGACAGAGAGAGACAGAGCATGAACGGGCGAGGGGCAGAGAGAGAGGGAGACACAGAATCGGAAACAGGCTCCAGGCTCTGAGCCATCAGCCCAGAGCCCGACGCGGGGCTCGAACTCACGGACCGTGAGATCGTGACCTGGTTGAAGTCGGACGCTTAACCGACTGCGCCACCCAGGCGCCCCCGAATCCCAGTCTTCTAAGACACACCTTTAAGGCCAGAAAGTTTCATTTCCAACATGATGATTGTTTTACTTACGTTGACAAACAGCTACCAAAAATCCAGTAAGGCTTTCAGATGAACTCGTATTTTACTAGCATCTACATATGTGAAAAACAGTCCACGTTCGCAACAGCAGTAACCAAATGTACTCCAGAATGTTAAAACTAAGAACCAGCTCTTTTTCTAATCTCTTAGCAATTCTAAGAGTTAAGTGATATTTTCTTCGTAAGTTAAAGCACAAAAGACTTACCGGTTCTGACAGAGATTTTTTGGGCTATCATTCTTCCTCCGATGACTGCTAGTCCGGTGCATAAGCAGTGGCCCACTGTCCCACCCACTGCTACGCCATACGGGTCCTGGAAGCAAGCGTGACTAACATTAATTTAAAAGCAGTTGAAACTGTTACCTGAGAAAGATAACTATTAGCCACTGAAAATGGAAATGAATAACAAAGCCTAAACACGTCTAAAAACTCAGGTGTGTGAGGTACGAAAATTGTAATAGCGGCTTGAGGGAATATTTGCAATCATATCCAGGAATCGAGCTAAAAGCAGACAAATTTCTAAGATCAAAATAATGCTAATTCAAGCAGGCAGCAGTTGTCACCATTCAAGCCATATTTAGCTCTTAAGTGACAAGTACTGAGGGGACTCACCCCAGACCTCTCTTCCCTCAGGTAGTGTCTGCTATTAGGAGGAAACAAGGCAAGCCTTTACAGACCCGGCCTCCCTTTCTCTCCACTGTGTCTCCGGTGCTTCAACTCAGAGCCAGGAACACGGTATTCATTCCCTAAATCCTTGCTGCCAGAGCAAACTGGAGTCCCTCAGACTGGGAAGACCAGTGAAAATTTTCCAGAAAGAATACCTCTGCAGGACTAGCAGGAAAATTTGACTTGTGGAGGAGAGAACATCCTAGAAGGCAAAAGGCCAGCAATAAGAGACAACTGCAGAAAAGGTTAACACACATTTCCAGAGAGAACCAATGAGTCACAAGAGAGGTATCCCATCAACCTAGGTGGAGGCCAGCTCATGAAGGACCCTATCGATAGGCTTACAGTTTAGACTTTAAGACACACTGGTTTTTAGCTGGTGAGTGACAGAACAGGAGGTATATGCTTTAAAAGTCTAGTGCAGAGAATGAGCTGGAAGGGAACAAGATTGAAGGCAAGGGGCTCAATTGCCTGGATTGGGGTGGGAGACTGGAAGCAGAGAAAAGCAGGTGGATTTGAGAATTAAGGAGGCAGAATTGATACACCCTAGTGATAGGTGTTACAGAAGAGAAAAATCAGGTATGATACCCATACTTCTCACCTATAATCCTCTAGATGAATTATGATAATACCAACATGACTCAAAAAGTTATTCGGAGCATGTGGGTGACTCAGTCATTTAAGCGTCCAACTCTTGATTTCCGCTCAGGCCCTGATTCCCATGTCAGGCTCTGTGCTCACAGTGTGGAACCTGCTCAGGATTCTCTCTCCCTCTCTGGCCATCCCCTTCTCGTGCTCTCTCTCTCTCAAAATAAACATTAAAAAGGGGGGGGGGGAAGGAGTGAAGAAAGGGTTTATGGGTGCTGACAGGAGTTAAAAGTGGGAGAAGTTCAGGAGTCGGTTGGGTTCAATGGTGAAGCAGCTACAGGACTGAAGAGAACGGCCCTGAGAGGGAGAATGCAGACGAAGATGCCGAGGACGACATAACAGTAAGAAAAGCAACACTGAAGGGATGACGGAGGGAGAGGAGCCCAAAGAAGACTCTGGAGGGAGTCAGACAATTAGCCTCCCAAGAGGAGCACTGAGGGGCCTGTGGGTGGCTGCAGGGAACTCGAAGCCCCCATCAATCCTCCCGATGAGGTCAGAAACTAGGGTCCGGTGCGTTTAGAAACCAAGAAAGTAGAGCAACTCCTGTTTGCCAACAGAGCCCAGCCTTTTGAGACCGGGGGGAGGGACGGAGAGGCTGGCATCTGCAAGGGAAGCAGAATCCAGTAAGGTGTGAAACTGCAGATGAGAAAGACTCATACGTGCTAAAATGCTCACAGCAGGGCTGGGAGAAAGGCAAAGGTTTAAGTAACGGAGTGGAGACATGGGGCTGTGATCCGGAACCCAGCAGGGACAGGACTGCCACTGAGAGCGTGGAGGGAAGAGACGCAGACACCTCTGTGAACCACGTGTGGCAGAGCGGGGCCGCACTGCTCATTCTGTGTATTCAAACTTCTCAGCTGGCATCCGTGAAGATGCTGTCACTCTATCTCAAAGGGTGCTTGAACAGTCACTGGATTGAATAAAATTTAAAAATTCCTTTAAAACAGAAGTTTTTGGTCTTTGTTATTTGCCAAATTCATTTGATCCTGGAACCTCATCCCCCATTTTTTTTTTTTTTTTTTTTTTTTTTTTTTTTTTTTTTTTTTTTGCTTAGTACCTAATTAAGGACACTAAATTCAGTTGGAAACAAAGAAATAGAGTTCAGACTAAAATGGACTGAACTGCATCTCAGCATAATTTATATAAAAAACTACCCAGAAAAGGTTAGGAACGTTAAGGGAAACAGACAAGCTGGCTTCTGCCCCTGAAGAGCTCGCAGTATCCCCGCGGTGCTGGTGGCCGGTGGCACTGCATCGGGGACTCCACATGCATCATCTTGCTTCATCCCCGGAATAATCCCACGAAGTAGGGAAATGCCCCATTTTCAAACAAGGAAATGGTGCGGGAACGCGGTCACACAGCTGAGGACTCACTCCACGCTGCTAGACTGCAGCAGACCAAGGGAGCTGACACGGACAGCAGATCTGGACCTTTCACAGTCTGTGCCACACAGACGACAGGATGAAGAAAAACGTAGTGATTTCTGCCATCATGACAGCTCTCACTGGCAGGACCACCACCACTGTCCCCACCACCACAGAAAGAGGTGACTTTGTTTCAAGTCCCAATGCTGACAATCTGAAAGCCGCTAAAAAAGGCTAAGAATGAAGAAAACTATAGGGCACGGCCATTACAGTGACATTTTAAAAGGAAGTTTTAAAATACAGGACTCAAGTGAAAAAACCAAGTTCCTCTTTCTCTTTCAATACAACATTTTTGATGCTTCTCTGACCAAATAGCCCCATCCCAACCCTTGGTCCGGGCCTGCAATTTGTTTTATATTTTCTCTTCTTTTTTTCTTTTTAAATGTTTTATTTATTTATTTATTTATTTTCGGGGGGGGGGGGGCCGGAAGAGAGAGAGGGACAGAGAAAATCCCAAGCAGACTCCACGCTGTCAGTGCAAAGCCCAACATGGGGCTTGATCCCACAAAGCCGGGAGATCATGACCTGAGCTGAAATCAAGAGTCAGAGGTTCAACTGACTGAGCCACTCAGGCGTCCCTCGTTCTGTATTTTAAACTGTGGCCTATGTTAAGGAACTTGCTCTTTTATGGTAGGCATCTCCTAGGAGTTAAGGACAAATTCAAATCACGCTTGTTATCTAAATCCTACCATCAGATAAAAACAATAATTTAACAGATAGAGACACTCCCTCAGCTAAGATCACCAAGAGACTGAAAAGTCCCCACAGTACTGCATTCCACAACCATCTCCTCAGATCTTAACAGACCTGTGTGAACAATAAGATACCTCATGTAAAACGTTACTAATTCTTCTCAAAAGAAATAAAGATTATAATTTTAAAAACAAACAACCTCCCCCCAAAAGCTAGCTTTTACATAAGTGGCATTTGATATCTATGAACAAGATATGGTAGAAGATGCTAGAAGGCCGAGAGCCACAGCTTCTAGTCCTTGCCACTGCTACCAACTAGCTTATGACTTTGGACAAGTTGCCAGGTGTCTCTGAGCCTCAGGTTGTGCATCTTTAGAGCAAAGGGCAGGACAAGGTGACCACAAGTCTCCCCTAGCTTACCATTCCAGACCTTAGTATTCCGGGGCTAAGATTAGCAAATTGTATATCCAGAAACAAGTCAACTGTAATTGCACTACCCAGAGATAAGCACTGGGAACATTTTGATTTCCTTAATCTTCCATTCACCAAAGAGTGAATATTCCCAGAGCTATGTAGAAATTAGTAAATGAATGAACTAATTTCTCTTGTGCTGGACACTTAGGCTGTTTTGGATTTTCCACTGAACAGTATTTTGTAAAGTAACCCCTGAAACACTGAAGTTCTAAGAAAAGCCAGAAAACCGAGTCAAGACAACTGCCATGGTATCTATCACTCCAGCAAACCTGGAGGGAAGAGGAGTAAACAGAAGTCCAAAGACGGCAGTTAGGTTGGGCCACAGGACACCATCTGCCTGCAGAAGCTGGAGACCGTTCATTTTAAAGAGAATCGGGATTATTAGGGATTAGAAAATAGTCTAACATATGAAGTAGTCTCTTGGCCCACACGGACTGTTCAGGGTCCTGTGGAGTGAAGTAACAGTGTTATGCTTAGTTTTAACAATAATACAGAAGCAGTCATTTCTCAAGTATTACTCGCCTCTCTAGCTGCCAGAACAATCGTAGTTAGTTGGGAGCGATCACCCCATTCGGCTAAGAATGTCAGTGTGAGAGCCTGAACGAAGATGGGGGAGATAAAATGCAGCCATCTCTTCTGGGGTATTGTCGTGCTTGCACCCGTTTCAACATCTCCTGGTCCATTTAAGAGTTTAGTTCGTTGAAACTAAATTAAAAAGAAAAAAGAGAGAAAATAGTCCCAGCAGACAAATAAAAAGAGTACAAAATTACTTAATCTTTCTTTTAAAAATTGTTTAAATTCTATGGAATATGCTCCAAGAAACTAAAACTATGTAACCCCAGGGGCACCTGGGTGGCTCAGTCGGTTAAGCGTCCGACTTTGGCTCAGGTCATGATCTCACAGTTTGTGGGTTCCGGCCACACATTGGCCTCTGTGCTGACAGCTCACAGCCTGGAGCCCGCTTCGGATTCTGTGTCTCCCTCTCTCTCTGCCCCTCGCCCCCGCCCCTTAAAAACAAACATACATTAAAAAAATTATGTGACCCCAAAGTTCTCTTTTGAACCACTGGCCTCACACAGCAACACACACTATATTCTCAATTCTTCCGTTCCTCCACCACAAAATCAACCAATATTTACTGATCACTTACTATCCTAAATGCTGTGGGAAGAAACTTGTAAAATACAAACTATAGCTCCTGCTTTGCAGGAGCTTATAATCCCCTGAGGAACCTCATCCCATGAGGTTGACACTCTACCACATCCCCGTTCACTCAGCGTCTTATCACAGACCGCTCTAAGAATGCAAAGTGGGCAAAACAAGCTTCTATTTTTTTTTCTTTAAACTTCTTTTGAGGAGCCCACATATATCACTCAGATACGGATAACCATGGAAAACCTCTGGATAATACTTATTCTTAGTGGAGTGCTTTTTTGGTCCAGACGTTTAGGAGCACCATGACTTACTTCTTCATCTTTTTTCTTTAATTCTGCTTGAACTTCCTCCAGTTCCTCTTGACCCTCATCTGGACTCATCTTTAAGCCTTCTCGAAGCATTCTAATGCCAAAAATGGCAAATAATGCAGTGGAAACATAGTACGTATACACCCTGGGGATGACTGTGGTGGCATAGCCGAACAAAACTGGAAGAAAATGCAGAGTATGGACAATTAGCATGCGTCTCATAATTCTGATTATGAGAAATCATAACTGAACATTGTTCTCAAAGAAAAGCTCATCTAAAACATAATAACCCGGCTTGCCACATGTCATGTCAACTTTAGGTAGAAAGTTAACTCTGATGCCCTCTAAGGAGTCGGACATCTTATAACCTGGAAGCTATACCACTTTCATACGCAAGTGATATTTCTTCATTACAAGTCTTTAAATTGCAAACTTCTTTAGTGAAGAATCATGACAAGATTCTCAAATGATAGGTATGATTCAAACTCTGCTCCTTTGTAATTATTTCAATATATCTGATAAAAGAAAACAAATCATTGCTATACCATACCCTAAAATAACATTTACAACAGACTCAAATTTATTCAGTATCGTTCTTTCCTACCATTAAAGAAAAGAGGACCACTGTATAAGTTATACCAAAAAAACCTTGGAACTGTATCAAGAACCCAAATCCTAACCATGAAACACATTTATACCAGCGTTATCAGTTCAGTAGTTAAAACTTAAAAACTACAGAAGGGCCAGAGGAGATTTTCACACAAATAATAAATGCAATTATCCTTTACTTCACATGCTCTTTTTATAAAATGGGCACAACACTTCAAAATCTGGATGAACGCCAAATGTATAACTGCACAGATAAAATAGTCCCAGGTCACTATAATTACAAAATTCAAGATTTTAAAATCATGTTTAGAAACACATCACATCTACGCTTATGTGTACGTCTATGTTCTGATTATATGTATAAATATATACATTTGTATATATGTATATGTACACACACAATACAGACCTATTATTTTCTAGCTCTATCCAGTGAAAAGGCCAAAAAGCAAAGACATCTCAGTAATGAGGCCACTTGACATCCATTCTTGGCTTCTCACACCACTCCCCACTAAAAGCCTCCTCAGAAAAATGGCTAATTCCAGGCCTATGCAGACTAGGTACAAGCTGAACTTGTGCTATCTTGTCGTACTAGAAAGTACGGAGGAACAAAACCAATGATGGGAACATGACGCAAGGACATGGGAGCTGGCTTGGAGGGGCTTCCCCCAGCCAAATCTGGGGCAATTGAAGCAATATAATTAGGTAATTAATTATAACCCACTGAAAACAATGAATCCCCAAGTTTATACTGACAACAAAGAGACAAACGAGTGGGATGGGAAGGAGAGCTCTGTGAGCGTAGTGTGCCAGGCCCGCTGGTCACGGGGATGGGCTACTAGAATCAGAAAGCCATCATTCTGCAATTATCAAGGTAAATTGAGATCATGGAAGAATCATTAACCCTAAACAATGGGCAACAGGGTGTCCGTACGGTCTTATTTAAAGTGTCTCCCTAAAGACTGCATATTAGTTGCAGGGAAAGAGAAAAAGACAGACACAAGAAAAATCTTGACGTCACTGAGGGACAGACAGACATCTTGTTCTTCCAGATGTGACGTTCTCAGAGGGACAAATATCACCTATGCAGCATTCTGGTCAAAAATGCATTACCTTAATCTAATTATGAGGAAACAGCAGAGAAACACAAAATGAGAAGCAATCCATTAAAAGGGGAGGGGCTGTCTTCTTTAAAAAATGTTAATATCATAAAACACAAGAAAAGGCTGTCGAAGTGTTTCCGATTAAAAGACTAAAAAAGAGGGGCACCTGGATAGTTCAGTTGGTTGAGGGTACAACTATTGATTTTGGCTCAGGTCACAATCCCAGGGTTGTGGGGTCAGAGCCCTAGGTCGGAGCCCCATGTGTGGAGCCTGCTTAAGATTCTTTCTCTCTCTCTCTCCCTCCCTCTCTCTCTCTCTCGCCCCACCCCCCCACCCCATCCCAGCTCACACATTCTCTAAAAATAAAAAAACTTAAAATAAAAAAAAAGACTAACAAACTAGTAAGACCCAAATGTAATAGCTGACCTAGACTAGCTCCTCCTCTACGGGAGGGGGAAAAACTGCTACAGAGGATATTAAATCAACTGACAAAACTAAAATACAGATGGTAAAGCATGTATCCATCTATTCCTTATGTGAAGATATATGTGTATATTTATCTACTTTATGTATCTGCATATATAACATGTACATGTCATATATATATATATAAATATATAAATTATGTATGTAACTACACATATAATTTTTCTTAGATATAGACAGGTAAGTCACACAGGCTAAAGCACTGGGGTAATAAAATGCTAACAACACTGAATTTGTATAAAAGGTGTACAGGTGTTCTTTGTACTATTTTATTTTTGCAACTTTGTAAATTTAAAATATTTTCCATAAAAGGTTTTAAAATTTAAAAATGGAATGTAGTGAGCTTTTTTAAATCTCCTAAACTCAGTTTTCCTTCTATCTTCAGATAGTCTTAAAATGAAAACACCCTGATACTTACTGATCCTTATAGAGCCATCTTTTCTGCCTTCTGCCTGACATCTCCATGGGAGAGCAAAAAAACTACTTGGCATTGTAACTTTTTCTTCTCCTGGTTACTCTCCCTCTATTTCCTATTTCTTTGGAAACTTTCCCTCAGACACTCAAGCACTTTTGCTCTGGGAACAGTGAGATGTTACTTCTCATTAAGCATGGACTTTGCAACCAGTCAGAACAGAGCTACAAACGCACTGGTCCTTCTACATCGTGGCAGTGTTGAAGTTCCAAGAAAAATCTGGAGTGAAGATAGAGATATGGGACTCACGGACTTTTAGGTAATTAAACTGAGAACACTCAGCACAAGGACGTTAGTGTGAAGGGGAAAAAAATGGGCCAAGGATACAATGGTGGGGGATGTGAATATTTACTGGTACAAAGTGTTTTCGAAGAGAAACAGAAACGTAACGATAAGCACATGGTGTCGTAGAAGCCAAGAGAATAGAGGTGGGGAATGTCCGTGAATGTGGCCTGCGGGGGCTCACTGAAATGAAAACTGAGCTCTAATAAGGGAAGCTGGTTACTGAAGCCTTTGCAAAGATGTCAGAAGCAGAAATCAGATTACAAGTGGCTAAGGAGGCAAATGGGAGAAAGAGCAGAGTGTGTGCTCACAATATGAGGAGGAAGAGCAGAGTAGTAAACTCTACTCTAACATGGGGGCGCCTGGGGGGGCTCAGTCCGTTAAGCGTCCGACTCTTGATTTCAGCTCAGGTCATGATACCGTTCTTGGGATTGAGCCCCGCATCAGGCTCCATGCTGACAGTGCGGAGCCTGTTTGGGACTCTCTCCCTCTCTCTCTATCCCTCCCCCACTCACGTTCTCTCTCTTAAAGTAAATAAAAACATTTAAAAAAACCTCTGAAGTACACAGGATTCTCATCATGCTGTTGTCAAATGGCACAGAGGGGCTAGGTAAATGCCCCCAGCTAAGTGAGGGGCTGAGCAGGAATGTGACCCCCCGCCCCGGCCCCCCTATGTTTAGCCCTCCACTGGCGTATAAGAGACAAGAGCTGCAAATGTGCAATCTCCGAACCGGGACTGACATACTCCCAGAGATTCTCAAAGACTTCACGAGGGGACACAGATGAATATTTTGCAAAAGAATCTACTTCCAGAAGTTCAACTTCCATAGGTTCTCTTTCCTAAAATTCATCTGCCTAAAAACATGCTTGTGGTTAAGGAGTCCTGCCGGCTTCCCTTTCTCACATCCCTTCTTGGTTGCCGTCTGTCTCCTTTATAAGGATGCCTTTTACCCAGCCTTCTATGGTGCATTTCCCCACAGTACGGAAAAATAGATGTCCTCGGGCAGCAGAGAGGGGGTCTAAACTACTGGTGTCTTCAATCAAGGCATAAATCAGACACAGGGCTTTGGGGCTTCCCTGTCTTATGCAAGTTTCTGGTAAGGTCATGACATCAGAAATAATGGCATTATGTTTGTTGGAACTAAAGGTCATGGCATTAGAACTAGGGTACCTGCAGGGCCCCTGGGTGGCTCAGTCGGTTAAGCGTCCGACTTTGGCTCAGGTCATGATCTCGTGGTTCATGAGTTCAAGCCCCACATCTGTGGTGACAGCTCAGAGCCTGGAGCCTGCTTCAGATTCTGTGTCTCCCTCTCTCTCTGCCCCTTCCCTGCTCAAGCTCTATCTCTCAAAAATAAACAAACATTAAA